GCCAGCGTGGTTGACTATGGCCTAATCACCCTTAACTTAGGGTAGGCTCCGAGCCCCTCGGTTGGGACGTATAGTGAGCTGATGATGGTGATGATTGGGAGCTCAAAAAGGCCAATCGTTTTTAGCATCAATTGTTTATATACCCTACCTTATGGAGTGGCTCGATTTCGTTACAATTTGCCTTTCGTTCATAGTCTACGAGTTGATAGTTATTAGAAGGTTACAGCCGCTTATTGACATTGGTAATAACAACTTTTAAATGCTAATTATTTTAAATCTTTACTTGAAAAAGGAAACTAGGATATCATTTTAAAAATTGCAATGTATTTAGTAATAAATGAAATCGAACAAATGCTTACAATTAACGTAAACAAACTAAGTACAAACGGAAGAGACAAAAAAAATTAAAAGAAAATGCCACTAAAATCGAAGTATCCTAAGACTCTTCAGCATCCTTAATTAAACTCAGAGCACGTAGCACTCCTTGATTCAGTTCCCAGGGGCGAGTGACACCCTCCCCCCACCATTGCCCGCCCCCCTTTCCTTATGGACCGCTTAGATTTCCACCCCCTAAGGTCGTGTGTACGGAATACTTTCAGCCAAGAATCTTGTACAAAGAATTGGTTTTGAGAGATTCGGACGTTAGTTTTATCGGTGTTTTTTTTCCTTTGCTCCTTCAATTGGTATTTCTATTTTCGTCATCGAGATTATCCGACTCTATTTAGAACTTTATTGTCGCCTCGCTAACCTTTGCTATTATTTGCTACAGTAAACTGAGCAACAAAGACAATGAATAATAGTGTGTTTCTGAGACTAAAATCTCTGTATAAAACAAATGGTATACAGGTATTTTGGTCTCAAAAACCAACGATAAGATTTAAATTAATGTTTATTTCGGTCATTGGTTTTACAACACGTAATTGATTTCTAGATAAAAAATAATTCAAAGATTTTAAATTGGATAAATATTCAGTAACAAGGAGTTTTTTTCTTTAACTTCAAATTACATAACATTTGTAAGATGTTAAAAGTCTCTGGATGTCTCTCAGCTATTTCTAAGTCGAGGAAAGGCTTTAAAAAGTAATCACAGGGATCTTGAATGTAAAGTTAGGAACATTTGGCTCGGGGATGGCAATTATTACACTTTTATACTTCTAATTTCGTTCCTCGCAATCTTTTCGATTTAAAATCTTCGATGGAAAGAATTAATTCTATTTCAACGGTGTCTTTGTGTATTTAATTTCAATTACTATCTTTTTCCACGATATCTTACAAATATTTGGATGGATGGATGGATGGATGTTTTTTGAAGATATCTCCAAAACGGCTGTATAGATCTCGATGAAATTTGGCAGACATATAGAACATAGTCTGGAAGAACACATAGACTACTAATTGTTTTTTTTTAATTCCGCGCAGACGGAGTCGCGGGCGAAAGCTAGTTCAAAATATAACTGTCATTTTTTTTTCGGAGAACGTTTTTTTTTTAAATTATAAAACGATTATAAAACCAGACCAATTTACCTAAATGCTTTTAAATTCATCACCGCAAAACGTAACCGCAGAAAAAAAAACGTAATAAAAAACCAAAGTGCTGTAAAGCGGTAGGAAAACTGCGGCCGAGTAATTATTCAGAAAGCTAATGTGCCACTTGTTTATTCCCTGACTAATTAAGAGAAGAAAGAGTTTTAAAAAAATACCTTAAAATGGCAGTAGAAGAAATCAAACATTCATTATGTAAGACAGGGCAACGTCGGGGTGAATATTTTTCAATTTTTTAATGAATTTTTATTCCCTTCCAACTTTCTAGGTGTATTTTTTAATTCTTCAAATTGTGTAGGGTGCAATCCATTACTTTATTTGGAATATCGTATCATTTTTACCGATAAAATAAGCGAAAAGTACGATTACGAGGAAGTTATCCAAATGTTTTATAGCAATATTTTTTTTTCTTACTAATATTTTATAATAACTGAGAATGTTTAGTTGGATGGATGAATGTTTGTTTGAAGATATCTGCGGAACGGCTGCATGGATCTTGATGAAACTTGTCATAGATTTAGAACATAGTCCGGAAGAACGCATAAGCTACTTATTAAGTTTGTTTTTAATTAGGTAAGACGGAGTCGCAGGCGACAGCTAGTTTGTTCATAAATTTATTGTAATAACGCAGAGTTTATTAACCTAATAATTATTGCTTTAGTTGTAGTTTATATTAAATCTATACATTTTTAAATTAGATAAAGAGAAATAGGGGTTGTATAAGTATTAAATAATCTTATTAATTAATAGAATATAATGCAATATTCAATGCAGTACTAATTGGTTACATATGAATAATTCAAGACACCAACTAATATCAATTACTGTAAACGCTTCTAAACTAACTGCGGTAGGTGCCAAGTTGAAAATTGTCGAACCAGCAGGTGTGTCAGAAGTTTCGCGAGTTTACAAACTTCCCGGCTCAATTAGCGTCGAATTAAACCGGTCCCGTTGAGGTGACAAATCGCGGGTACTCGGTCCCATTGTCTCGACATTGACTAATAGCTTGGGGTATTTAATTTAGGGTAGTTTAATTATATATTAAAATTTTGTAACGATAAATTGTCTAGGCTCGCATTAATCAAGAAGTTGAGACACTGATTAAAACGACGTTCGAGCAACTATTTGCTGAGTTTATATCGTTAATAATTTACAGGTCGGGAGAAAGAGGGTGGAGGGGGCGGGATCAGGTGCGGCTCGTTGCTTGATACCTAATGGCTAGATAGCAACTGATTTTAATGGATGTACTGACTGAGTACAAATAAATATTAAACGTATGTGTTTATAAAATGAATAAGATTCATTTAGGAATTTGGGTGGCTTTTATACAGTTACGATATAAAAATCCGTTTTACATTTTTTGCCTATTACCTACTATATTACGAGCAGTTTTTATAGTTTTCTAAATTGATTCTCAGATAATTATAGATTCAGTTTCATTTTTTTAAGCCTTACAATGAAACCAGCGTCTATTTTATTCAATTTTAAGGTAATTAAATGAAAATAATCTCATTACAATTCTTTACTGTAGCATTAAAGTAAAACTTATTCTTTTTTCTGAGTTCTTCCTTATAAAATACTAGCCGTCGCCCGCGCGGATTAAAAAAAACATAAAAGTAGCCTGTGTGTTCTTCCAGACTATGTTCTATATGTATGTCAAATTTCATCGAGATCTGTTCAGCTGTTCTGGAGATACCTTCAAACATCCATCCATATCAATCTAAACATTCGCATTTATATTAGTAAGATTTTAACAGTTGTTTAAATGAAGTTTTTATTCTTTCCTGGTATGTGTATTATGTAAAGCGGTATTCGCAACGAATGCCTTCGCCATTCTCGTTCATCGCTATACATACTGCACTCCCCAGTTCATTTAAGACGTGGGAGGAGGGCTCTATCGTCCGTGATTCAGGCATAGATTCGCCGTTTTCACTTCGAACAGTGTGTGCGAGAGAAACAGATTTCTATTTAACGATAAGTGCGAATGAGACAATAAATACAAGGGTCGGGTTAGTTATTGGGGCACATGTTTCAGCTCTGGGTTGATTTATAGGTGGGCGACGTAATAGAGATGAATAAATTTTCATTCTACTAAATGGTATTCATGAATGGAACATGTCAAAAAATGCGAGGTTGAATTTATAAGATTTTTTATTTGGGAAAAACTTAGTCAAGCTTTTCAAAAGACAAGCAGTTAAAATATTAATTTTTACTACTTTAATTCCGAGTTTCTTACAAAATTTAAGTAGAAGATTCGAATCATGGGGCAATATAATAGTAATAAACTCTGAGCTTTAAGATAATCTTATTTCTCAACAAAATACCAATCGTTGTGTGAATTGTTGTGAGGGTTGAACAGCAATCTTCGTGGTCTCGACGCTGAGGTACGCCGAGTTAAATGTTAGTGAGACAGGGATAGCAACCGCAACATCTTAAATTCATGAATAGACGTACTACACACGGCTGTAGTGTTTCATGAACTTGAAATTACTGCGTAAAAAAATATAAAAGTACCGTAAAATCTCTGTTCCTATCTTTATTCGTGAAACATTGAGTTATTAAGTTATATTTGTTGTTATTGTTGAAACCAAGTTCAAACATCTGTTGGATACTAAACGCCTGACAAAATCGTTCATTTATACCGAATATGTCGAAATATTATATCTTGGTGATAAAATTAATTAATGTTAATTTAAATTAATTATGTTTCTTTCCAATTCCTTTACTAGAACCGAAAACGACTTTTGTTGCTAACATTAGTATGAAGGATTTTTTATAAAGTTAAGTATAATTTTACATGAATTTATTTTATGCTTTTCATTTTAATTACCTGTGAATCTCAGTACATTCAACTCTACATACTCTATAAACTTTACTGGCGCAGTCGCAAACGAATATTATAAAACAAGTAGCTAACTTATCTTAAGCTGTTAATGTACATTAATTATGTGACAAGGGGATGTTGGGGTAAGATGTTGACACAACTTTGAATAAGGGTTTGTTAATAGGATCCATTATAGAAGCTGAAGGAGTTAAGAGTGAAATATTATCGTTAAGTAAAGAATGAGGTATGTTTGAAATATTAAAGCATATCTTAAATGTGTAAATTGAAGAATGAACAGCTTATTCAGGTCGGCTTTGGACTGGATTCCGTAACATCGCATAAGATTTCGTGGTTTGTTCATTGTTGAACAAGGTGAAGTACAATTTTCTTAATTATAGCAATTTCTAATCTCTTCCTCGTCTTACCTGTATGGATGTATGTATGTTTCTTCATGTCTGACTTCTGGTGGAAGCGCTTCCCGCAGTACTGGCAGGGGTAGGGACGCGTGTCTGAATGGATCAGCAGATGTGTGGACAGCGTGCTCGACCGTTTGAATGTTTTCCCGCACTGCTTGCACTCAAACACCTTCTCCACGCTGTGCACAGCCCTGTAACAGGCATGTTGTTATTTTCTAAGCATGATGATCAATTGTCTTGGTTTATTGGTGGCTCTTGATTTAGTTAGTGAAAAGGGGATTACTACATAGGCAGTTCTACTACGAAACTGCAGCATGGTGCCAATTGGTGGGTATGCGCCCTTAATTCAAATGATAGCACATTGGCAGTCAAATTTATCAGGACTGCGAGTTTAAATGAGAGCATTTTAAAATAATTATGAAAGTAAATAGATTGAATAGACCACTCACCTGTGCTGGCTGAGACTGATTTCATGTCCAAAAGTCTTGCTGCACAATTCGCAGGCAAATGGTCTCTTCCCATTATGAGACCTTCGAGCGTGTACTTCTAATCCATGAGGGGTGCTAAACATCTTTTCGCATTTAACACACGAGTAGACATCTCCAATAGGCAATGGTCTGGTTAAAGGGCTAGGAGCACCTAATACCGCAGCTCTTAGTCGAAGTAACTCAGGGCCGGCTGCTTGAACAGCGTGAAGGTATAAGTTACTATAACCACCCCAACCAGGAAGACCAAGACTACCCGCATCTCTGAGGAACTCCGCGAAAGGAAGCGGTGGATATAGGAATGGTCTCTGTGGCTGTACTCGCGGCGCATCTGGTCTTAGAAGAGCGCTTACTGAAAACGCCTCTGATCTTTTTAAAGGAGGTGATGAATCGGGCGGTCTTCTAGGTGATGAGGGGGGAGAATCTACTTCTAGTTCAGGGGAACTAGAACGAATCGAACGAGGAGATTGAGGTGATGGCGCCCAACAAGGGCTACCGCATCTGGAGTTTGGAGAAACATTATCAGGTCTGACTGTTTCTATATTATGCGTCTCGTCTTCTTCTTCATCGTGTCTTTCCCCAACAAGTCTGTTGATGCCGAATTTGATTTCTTCTGCAAAAGAGAACATGTCGTCAATAACTTCAAAATTGAAAAACTAAATATTATGCAACAGATTCGAAAAACTATGATTCATAGTATCTTTATCGATCCAAATGGCAAGCAAAGGGTATATTCTTAACAATGGCAATGAGTTGTACTAAGATAATAAAATTTACGTTATTCATTTTAAACAAAAGTATCAATAATTCAATCAGAAAGGAAAAACAAACATAAAGCAAGAAACGAAAAAAGCGATCCGAAAAGCAAAATAAACATTTGAAAAAATATTACATCCGCAACCCTTTAGAGTGCAACTCGCAAAATGTTTGTTGAAAGAGCACAAAGGGGCAGTGCACGCCTCCCGCGTCCCTTGCCCCGGGCCAGGGTAGGGCAGGGAAAGTGTGCAGGTGCCGCACTTGTAGCGAACGACGAAATGAGCCGTATCATGTCGCAGCAGCAAATTGACTTTCATCTGTTCAGCCCTCGCAGCTCGGGGCCGGCCCCAGTAATTAACACGTCGGTCTCGCCTCGACTCCAACGGACCCCAATCTTTTTTTACAATTCACTAATCCGTGGGCGCGACTCCACAGTGTTCGATGTTCAATTCGTTTTGTTTAGCGGGTCGATGCTCCGTTGCTTTTGTTATTCCAAACTAATATTTGTTCACCCATTCGCTGTTACAAATTAATTGGTTTCGTTATTTTTTCTTTAATTTATTCACATGTTTTTAGATATAGTTCATACAATGACACAAATTTATAAGGCACTTTTTTATTTTATTTAATTAGTTTTATTGAATTAAAATTTTGTGGCCTGAGTTAAATGTGTTCTAGCTTAAACCCGTGTTCAATTATTCCAGATTTAAGACAAGATCTGACTTAAATATATAACAGATATAGACTTAACTTTTAACAAAGGACACAAATGATCTTGTGAGAGTACTTTTACGAATTTAGTTTAATTCAAACTCAATTCCCCTATGATCCACATACATCAAGTGACCATCAGTTCGCGCTCACGCTGTCCAAAAACAAACATCCATCTATAGCTGTGACAAGTTGCGCTAATGAAGATCTGCCCCCGTCTGAAAAATAACAGCTGTTGCGATGCAGAGCGAAACCAATCGCATCCGTTATGCTTTTTTCACACGAGGGCTGAACACGGAGGTAGAGCATAAATACAGCACTCCAATTAATTAAACGCACATTTGTCATAAAATTGAGGAAGCAATTTCTATTAAAACATATAGTTTATTCTATTCTATTTTAATAAAATTGAAAGAGAACAATATGTTTTCATACAAATGTTTCGCCAGTGAAAACTCCTATTGTCAATACACTCCTTTATTTAGACGTATGCTTTCAAACAGTAGTACTATTCTGTTCACTGAATTACCCTCGTATGAAGCTAGTATAACTTCCAAACAAACTGCACTCTATTGTAGTATGACTTTAAATATTAGACCTCACGCCTGAACCTCTCGCCCTCTGCACTTGTTTATTTGTACCCCAACGACACGGTTTTATTGCTCCATAGTATTTATTACATATTAATGGTTATTTAGATTCATTGTTCCGCCCCAACAGTACGCTTGAATTCATGGCCTTGCAAAATATTGAATAGACAGACCCCATTCAAAGCGATGTGTAATTCAAAGACTGTCATTATTGCCTTCTATTGTAGGTCTTATTCTGTAATTATAAAGATTTGATATGTGTGAATACACGATAATTTATATTATTTTACACTTGCTTAACTACTAAATTATTATTTTGTTTGTTATCATCAAATTGACATTATTGTATAAACAAAAAAAAACTTTCTCAGCAGTTATTGCAGTTAAATTTATTTGCTACATAACCAAGCAGTTATTTATTTATTACAAGCTGTTACCCGCGACTCTGTCCGCGCGGAATTAAAAAAAAATAGCCTATGTGTTCTTCCAAACTATATTTACATCTGTGTCAAATTTCATCGAGATCCGTTGAGCCGTTCCGGAGATACCTTATAACATACATCCATCTAAACTTTCGCATTTATAATATTAGTAAGGTAATTATTTGTCTATCCGTTTGTCCATACGAGTAAAGCATATAAACATACCCCTATTGAGCGGAAACAAACGTTTTCCAGCGCCCTCTTCCAACCGCAAACGTTTATTTTTAATTTGTTAAAAGCACTCTGAAAAATAATCTGAATGCACCGCGAGAGCCGCGCCTATTATAATTAAAATTGCATTAGGTTTGCAAACTGGCAGACTTTAATGATCATTACGCGCTGTATGCACAGAAAAAAATGCATCCGTTTGTAACTGCGTAATGGAATTAACTTAAGAACAGTAATTTAAAAATCTTTTTTTTTTAAACAAAGATTTCCAAAAAAATACTAGTATGGTTTCAAAGGTTGGTTATTTAAGTAAGATAAGTCCCAATGGGAAGGACTTATAATAAGTTTAAATTCACAGTTTTTATAACAGATATCTGGGATTCAAAATTAACACATAAAATCATTCATAATCGAAAAATAAAGACTGGGGTGGAAAAATTGTTATTTAAAGTTAGGTATAATTAATGTAAAATGATATTTTTAGCCAAATTGATAAATTTTTATAGGAGAAGGGGAAAACGAACTGCGGGAACATCGAAGTGATCAACGACACCCATGGACATCTGCAACACCAGAGGAACTGCAGATGCGTTGCCGGCCTTTATGGGTATGCACGCTTCTTGAAGGTCCTTAAGTCGTATTGGTTTAGAAATACCGCCGAGGACAGACACAACGCGGCTGTGTGAGCCAAGAAATTGCGCGAGAATCGCACCGTTGTGGACTGCCAGCCATTCAGATGGTGAGGTCCATCAACCTGGCGGTCTAAGATTTAAAGATTATGTTTTTTATGATTGCTTATGTGTTAAATTAAAATTCTAGACTTTTTACTTATGTCTTTATCATTTGTCTACAACAGGATGTTCAAAATACCAATGCGATGAGTGAGTTTATTAAAAATGAAATTTGTCACGGTCCCCATATAACGGGGGATTATTATTAAATATTTTATTGGAAACGCTAATCTTGATAAACGATTGACGCGTGACTCCTCATATTTTGAAATCGAAAACCATTCCCTAACACGATGTAATATTAAGTCATGTATTAAGCATAATTAATTCTAACTTAGCTTACTTAATATCTAATCTTTTTATGAAAAGTGCGTTAAAATTACTTAATTTAATCAAAAACAGGTCTAGATTTTAGATTTTCTTTATTTCATCATGTAGATTAGACGCTAAAAGACTATTGTAGATAAGTATAAATAATTTCAGGCGCCATCTTGTTTTTATTTTAATGAAAAACATTTTAAAACCTAAACCAATTTATAATTTATTCAAAATAATCGAAAATGAGTAATAAAATAATAAGTATAAATCAAATGTTATCATTCGCTTTTAATACATTTTATCGGCCACAATAATGTTTTTAATTCCATTTATCTGCAGGGATTACCTAAATCTAGGATTGTAAATGACGCGACGTGTCCAAATTAATTCCGTAACAGCACACATACACATAGCCCGCACGCATACAAATATAAACGCTCTCCGATTGGCTATTGTCTTTTTCCGTGAATGTGAATAGCCGTTACGTTTGAAAATATTATGTTCTATTGTTCGTTATCTTAAACCTCGGGTAGATTCATATTGGATTTTTTCTAGTATAATCAGTTCTTTTACTGGGTATTAAAGTAATCAAAGTAATATATCGAAGGTCCGCGGTATGCGATTACTGTTTGATAGTCATATTGATTACATAAAGTTATGTTGATCCTTTTATCTTTACGGTTGCTTAGTTTTCTTTTCGCTAAGGAAGTGACGTAAGCGATATATACATATTTATCAACGGCATCTATTATTTTGCTACTTAACTATAAAACTTTGAATGTATACCAAGACATATGTAAAATTTTATAATAATCGAGTGAATGAAAAAAAATCTTAGTATTAACACTTCAAAGAAATATTTAGAATATAAAACACAGTATTACTATATTTTTTCTACTAAAATTGTCACAATTTTCTAGGCTTTATATTACGCTATAAGGCTATGGGGAGTAGTTCATTATTTTAAAATAACTTTTAGACATTAATGGCGCGAATGACGTGTTTTCGTTACAAAGTCTAGTGTCAGAATGGCGAGGGGACATAAACGTCGACATTTTAGTAAGGCTAGTGTTGAGTCAATGCACTGGCTAATTTCCGGATTTTCTCCCTAACATAATTAGTTATTTTGTGTCTTCCAAAATAAATAAGAAAGAAAAATGTTTATTCAATAATAAAAGGGTCTTAACAGACAGACGGATGGACAACAAAGTGATCCTATATACTTTCCGTTTTTTTCCTATGAGGTACGGAACTCTTAAAAATATTGCTAGTACACTTCGTTATTAAAATTGCAATTTAAAATATCCCAAATAATGATAGAAGCGATGCCTGTAATCTAATGTCAGATTCTTCTCGGTCGGTCTTAGCATTGACAGTGTGTTTTCCAGATAAGTTTGATAAATCAGGGCTTACTGCGGCAAGATCTGACGGATTTCATGTTATCGTTCTCGAATTCCGACAGAACGAGATTACGGTTACCACGCCTTTCGATATTTGCGGACAACGTCACACGCTCACGTCTCACGAGTCTGTACAAAATTTCATACTTTATTACACGTATTCGAGTGCCTTGCATTTTACGAGTAACTATGATAATACAGATATCTTGACAGCAGCTGCTTTTTATACTAACGGAATAAAATCTCTCGAAAAAAAAATTGTAAAAAAAATAGTTTTTTGATTTTTTTGAAAAAAATTCCTGATATCTTTCTTTTGTTTTTCACTACTTTGAAGTATTTAAACAATGGAAGAGTATGGTAATAATGTATCATCCACTTCTTCCCAGGTTTCCTTAGATAGTACGAAGTAACGGTAAACAATCCCGGGCGACGTCGGGCTTGAGTACGTGCCCCGATTTCTCCGCTCGAAGTTTCTACGAATTATTTGCTGAAACAATAGCACGCGTCGTGTTTGTGTCATAAACCAATTTACGTTTACCTCCAAAACGTGTATAATTCAACGCGTTCAATCTTTATTACCAAGCAATAAAGACGAAAATCTCTTGATAAAGTTTGTATGCGATTAGTTTTACAATTGTCGTCTTTGGAACGTTGACGAAATGTCACTCGCGGCGTCTTTGAGATTAAATTCAGCTTTGATAATTACTATTTAAAGTGTGCCTAGATTTGTGATTACGAGCGTGTTTACGAGGTAACTTCCTTTAATGAGTTTTTTTCTTGTCATGTTGGATTATGTTTACTTGTATGAATTTTTTTATACCATGACCTTACAATTCTTTGGATAACGACGGTCTTTATTATTGGATTAACACGGAATTGTCAACAGTTAACCCATTTTCATTTTATGTGTCGAATCGTACATCTTGTTATATTGTAAAATGCCATTTCATGCCTCGAAACTATACTTTGTCATCTATCTAGTCTTAATTTTAATTCTCTATGGATGAATATCATTAGATAATTTACGTTTTTTTATATCATAAGGTTGGCAAACAAGCGAGCGCCCACCTAAAATCGCTGAAATAGCGAAGTGACCGTTACCCATAGACATACGCAATTGCACATGCGTTGCCTACCTTTAGTCGACGGAGGAGAGATGCACAGAAAGAAAATATTTTCCCTTCCCATGCACCCTTTTCTTATAAGAAAAAGGGTGGAAAGGAAAAGAGGACTTAATTAGGCCTCCGGGACGCACACTCATAAGACGAAACGCGGAATTGCTTCCATTTCACGCCTATCTTCTGTGTGGTCGTGGTATTTCACCGAGCCGGGCCGATTCGTGCGAAGATGTTAAAGCGGGCTCTACCACTGTTACGTTATTAGATTATAAAACTGGTGAATAGCAGTTAACTATTTTAGAATTTTTTTTTAAATGACACAAAGGCAATGACTTTGCTTCAATGATCATGACGGTATGTCACGCGAACTTTAAACAGCAAAGCCGAGTGGCTTGGCTGGACTTGACAAACAAAGACGTGAATAATAGGGTAAACAGGGGTTCATGGGGCGATATCGTGCCCGCGTGGCCGCCGCGCAAATATTGATACACTTGGCGTGCACGAATGTTACCCTTTGATTGATTGAACATTGTGGTCACCTTAGTGTAAAGACTACGTTACGTATTTTGTTATTGAATGATTGGTTAAATATGAATACAATTGATAAAAGTCGTAAATTTAAATATTTCTTTCATAGATTACATTTCTTATTTGTGTTTCAACGATGTTATAATATAGCTCTATATTTACTAGGAATTGGATGAATTATTTAACGATTTTTCAATTTAATGTTATACGATCTATATGATATTTTTCTAGAATAAATAGAGTTAGGATGATAGTTTATAAATAGTTTCATCCATGTGACAATGCACACATTTCAAACGGGCGGATTACAAAACGTTATCTTGTACACTAATGTTTGCTCACAAGGGTACACATGTCCAAATCGGATTTACAACGTGCGAGACGAGGGCGATGGAGGGTCACCACAAAAATATCTCATATTTTTAAAGAGTTTCATAATCGATATAGCTACTCGTATGTGTGTGTGTGTTTTAAGAGAATTCATTAGTTTTAGTTTTTTATTAATTTAAAACAAAAAAGAGTCAATAATGGAATGTGTAACCTTTTTTATTCATTTAAATCTCTATCGTCATTTAATAGATAGTTCATCAATTTACGTTAATGTTATTTGTTTATTAAAAAGGTGCACCAAGTCTATATTCAACAAACACGAGCATATACAGATAATACAAACAGAGGAACATACAGATGACAGGCGTACACAGCATTCAAATGTAAAAATTAAAATAAAAACTATTGTAAACTTCTCTACGATTCCTAGGTTATTACATTTAGTAACCTATCCCCGACGATGACATAAACTTTATAAGTCGACTCATCCATTGGACTTTAGCAACCTTGACCATAAATAGCATAAAAATATACTATAAAACGTTAATAAATATTGTTTTGCTGACGCTACCGCGTTATCGTCGATATCGAAATTTGTGTTCGATATATGAATTACAAGCATCATAACACGCAGCGGACGTTTAAACTGTCGACACACGGTATCTGTGATACCTTTGTCGCCGCCGCCGGCAAATCAGAGTCATAAAACAAACGTAATTTCGCCAGCGATACGCGCTGTCGGTCCCTGATAAGATATGTCAAGCCCAAATCTGAAGCCGTGGGATTTGCTCAGAACTCGTGTTATTGGATACAGACAAGCAAAGGGTGCTGTAAATCAACCAAATTATTTGCTGCAGAATTTATTTCTACACCTTTGACAAACCTTTTTTTGTTGTCTCAATTTGTATGCAAATTCTATATTGGTTATGGCGTAAAACCATTTAAGCATACAGATGACCAACATGTCAAAAATACCAAAGAAAGATTAGTTTTGAGAATAGAAGAACAGGGGTGCCAACATGAAATTGGAGATGGGATGAACGAGAGGAATGTCACTTTAAATATCTCAAATTTGGTGATTTTTTCGTATATCTAAGTAATAAACTAAGTATATTCTTACCTCTGACATTATAAGAATCGTGAGTCTGCGGCGGAGGAGGCGAGGCCAGCCTGGGCTCCGGGCGCTGCACACTGGAGCCCCACAGCGAGTGGCAGATGCCGTTTCTCAGGGCTTCACTGGCCGAAACACCTAGACAAAATAATTTTCTTTATTAATTTGGCTGTGCGCTGTAAAATACAATTGGCAGTAGCTATGCCGCCGCTTGATGCATTGAGCAGTCCGCTTATGGCAACCTTTAATTTGTTTTTACGTCGATTTTTTTTCAATGAGCATTATTTTAGTATAAACATATTTTGATACAATGAGTTCACAATAACTAGACATGTTGTTAAACTTGAATTTAGATCATTTTCTAAACTTTTTGCTCTACAAGAACGCTTCGATGACGTCATCGTTGTAGATGTGTTCCTGGCTTATTTTCATGGTACACAGTAAATTATCTTATCTTATTTACAATCTTACCAATATTAAAAATGCGAAAGTTTGGATGGATGGTTATTTCTTATTACGTGTGTTTAAAACAACTCTTGTTGAAATCGAGCACAGATGTAGAATACAGTCAGGAAGAACACATAGGTTAAAGACTAAGTTTTTTTTTAATTCTGTGCGGACGAAAGCTGGTTGACTAAATTGTAATGTGTAAAAACATGTTTAATAAAAATAGTCTTTTAAAAGCATCTTGAAAGGCTCCGTTTTTACGTTTGCTGAAAACATATTTATGATTAATTTTATAATATAAAAATCATACAAGATTAAAAGAAAAGCAATTTCTTTTTAAATAATTGAGAAAATCCAATTAATTTGAATGTAGTACAATTTGTAGCGATCAGATAATAATGGCAGTAGCAATTGAAACGAAGTTAGACTTATAAATAAACTCTAATGACTTTCAGTTAAAAATCGGACGTACGTTGATCCGTTTTAATTAAGAACTGCCATTCACAATCTTGAACTTTATAACAAAGATTTTAAAGGTTACATTCGTCTACTTAAACCCAGAAACAAAGCAATACGATTCGCTTTTATTATATTTTCATTTATTTAAAAAACTGTATTAATACAGTGCTAAAACAACACTAAACTTTTCATTAACTCTCACGTAATGATTAACATTAAATTTCACTCACTTTTTTATGACCCTTTTATTGAACATAGAAATTACTCAAACTAATATTATAATATTATAAAACGTGTATGTGTGGTACTATAAGCGATCTCTTCCAGGCAATCCAGAATATTCACGTAAAAAAAAACTTATAACATTAACTTTATCACAAAATCACTTTATATACTTTTATATTTACTCCAAAAGCATATATTTAGATAATTTACTTATATTGATTATGCAATGTCATTGATAAATAAAATTATTTTTAGAAATTTTACGCAAAATTCCCTTTTTTAAACGTTAATAAATACTGCTAAAGAATCTCGCGTATTAAGAATTTCATAAAATCATTCATCATCATCATCATCAGCTAACTATACGTCCCCACCGAGGGGCTCGGAGCCTACCCTAAGTTGAGGGTGATTAGGCCATAGTCAACCACGCTGGCCAAATGCGGGTTGGTTGACTTCACACATATCTTTGAATTAAAATCATTCAATAGACCGAAAATATTGTTTCCTATTTTCTATAATCATCTACTTCTATATCTAAATCTAGATTAAGAATTTATTCTATAAATACTATCTTAATAAAGAACTCCATTCAATATCTATTACATTCTACTTTCGTAAAAACAAAGAGCAATGACTAAGAATGCATTTACTTTATGCAATAAAAAAGAACTAACCTGCGATATCAATATCTTGGGTCATTTTAATAAACACATTAAAACACTTAACCCATTACAGATAATACTAAAAAAAAACTGGGAGCTATCTTCGTAATTACGTGTAAAAAACTTAACGTTTCCAATTAAACTATTAGGGATATAAAATTGAGTTGAATTATTTTTATATCGATAAAATGTTTATCGTCTCAAGCGCTTTGGTAATCACAGCTCCAGATACAAGATAATATAATGATAATTACATTTATCGCTTGTAATTACATGTAATACCATGTATTTGATTAAGCGATGGCCAAATTTTATTTCATTAATGAAAACACACATGATTAATATAATCATTACTTGTTATAGATACGTTACATATGTATTTAAATCACAACAACAACATAACTCAATCCTATAACCCAAAGACACCCAAAGGAAGTCGCGGGCAACAGCTAAGATGGATAGCTAAAAAAAAAGATGTCTTCAAACAAACGAAGGTATCTTTTTTTATATTATAAGGTGGCAAACGAGCGAGCGGCCACCTAAAATCGCTGAAATAGCGAAGTGACCGTTGCCCATAGACATACGCAATTGCATATGCCTTGCCTAGCTTTAATCGACGGAGGAAAGGATGCACAGAAAGAAAATATTTTCCCTTTCCATGCATCCTCTCATCCGAAAAGTCTACTTCCACTTCCCATCCTTTCCTTATTAGAAAAACGGCTGCATAGATGTGGCTGAAATTTGGCATAGATGTAGAACATAGTCTGGAAGAACACATAGGCTACTAATTAAGTTTTTTTTTAATGCCGCGCGGATAGAGTTGCGGGCGACAACTTGTAGTATATAAATTTGAAAGTTATTTCTTAAAATTCAAGTTCAAGGAAAATTTGAATCGAAGCTGTGGTATAAAAGCGGATGTTTCGTAACAGGATAAGAGCGATGAGAGACGCAAGGACAATCTGTGCATCCCGGTTGCCGAAGGAAGAGACCGATTCGGTGGCGCCAGGCGGACCGCGACGTCCCCTTAATATTGATATATGCGCACGCGCTCGCGACATATTTCCTCTGCAACTTTATTAAATTATTGCCGATGTTAACAACGTGAGTTTTTGTTTATTTTTGATGGATGCAATAACAAAACTTCGTAGCTTAACTCTAACAAAAAAACTTAACGCAACCTCATCTATATATACCTCTATATTTTACGATATCTAAGATTCTTGTTAGAGTCGATTTTTTTCTATTACCTGGTTGATTAATTCAGCCCCTAAATGGATAATCGTGGAGACTTATATACTATCAATATGTGGAAGCTCTTTACCGACATCGAATTGTCTATATATCAGAGTCATAAAATTAATTCCTGAGGTATAAGAAATTGATTTCTAACCAACAGTACCATAAATATATTTAATTTTGCATCGTACCAACGATGAACGGCGAAGAACTTTTTAATAGAATAACAACAGGCAATCCTCAGTTAATTCGATAAGCATCTTACTTATGACAATAAAATCGTAAAACAAAAGGCGGTCGGTGCGGCGCCAGCGCGTTGAAGAATCAATGACCGTCGTCCGGCCGCGGCGGTCGCGACGGGCGCAGCGGGCGACGGGCGGCGGGGGGCGACAGGTCAGAGAGGGGGGCGGCTAATTCGACCGCTGACAATTGTCGCATCGCTTCCTGTTACTTATCCGCGCCTTAAGTGATGGACGACGAGATATCATAATAAATAATATTGTCACATTTATCTTTAATCAAGTAGCTAAAGTCAATTTGTTCAGCGATCAAAACGCTTGAGACAACTCTGGAATATCGGAGATGAATAGCAATTGACTAACTCTTCTAAATCGGTCACTATCACAATAGACCTGACGCAGAAACATTAAGCATTGCATTAATTATTACGATTTTTGCTGATGTCGAATCTGTGTTCTGTGGTCGGTTAATATTAGGATACTTCCTTTCTCTTTTTATCATCTACGCTAAAAGTTGAATAAAATTCAAATCCACGGACAAAACCAGGTACAAAGCGTTAAGCGGTGCGCTAAATTAAAAAGCTTGAACAAGGGCGTGCGACGGCGCCGGGGCCAGTGGCGCCCCGCTCGTATATCCGACATCCCCCCGCCGCGCCCACCCGCGGCCGCAGCGGCGATCATTCAATTACCATCGCCTTTATTGCACCCGATGCGGATCATTACACCTAACTGTCTATCATAATATGTATGTATATTGCCTGCCTCGTACATCTTAACAAAACAATAACTGAAAAATTAACAAATATGGTCAAATGGCCGTCGCCCGACGGGGCAGGCGGGG